ATTGACTAATGTGCTTAATTTTGTCTTGAAACAAACAGAAAGAAAGAAACAACTGTTTATGTTCACTCTTGTCTTGACTTTTAAAACTTTAATAAGATGAAATTTTTTATCCTGTAGAACAATACTAGTATAGAACATGAAATTGAAGCCAAAATTGACTAATGTGCTTAATTTTGTCTTGAAACAAACAGAAAGAAAGAAACAACTGTTTATGTTCACTCTTGTCTTGACTTTTAAAACTTTAATAAGATGAAATTTTTTATCCTGTAGAACAATACTAGTATAGAACATGAAATTGAAGCCAAAATTGACTAATGTGCTTAATTTTGTCTTGAAACAAACAGAAAGAAAGAAACAACTGTTTATGTTCACTCTTGTCTTGACTTTTAAAACTTTAATAAGATGAAATTTTTTATCCTGTAGAACAATACTAGTATAGAACATGAAATTGAAGCCAAAATTGACTAATGTGCTTAATTTTGTCTTGAAACAAACAGAAAGAAAGAAACAACTGTTTATGTTCACTCTTGTCTTGACTTTTAAAACTTTAATAAGATGAAATTTTTTATCCTGTAGAACAATACTAGTATAGAACATGAAATTGAAGCCAAAATTGACTAATGTGCTTAATTTTGAATGTAAATTGAGTTTATTCATTTAGAAATATTATTATTATTATTACTCCTTTTTAGCACTAACTGAGCCCATTTTTTTTCTCTCCATCTCTTTTAATTTTTGAATTGGATTTTGTATTTCAATTTGAACCTACAAACTTGAAAGAGCAACAAAAGGATGGAAGGTTTAAACAATCTTAGTGAAGAAGTTCAAGAACCGAAGAGTGGTGAAGTTGAAGAACCTAAGCAAGGGATGTGTTTTACCTCAAAGCAAGAAGTGTATGCATTTTATGCAAAATATGCAAAGCACCTTGGATTTGCTATAGCTTATAGAACATAAAATTATGGTAATGACGGGGGACTGAAATACTTTGGAATTGAATGTACTCGGGCGAGGAAGAGAAGAAAAAGATCAGAAGTAAACCCTCTGGAACCATCCTTGTCATCCAAAAATGATTGTAAAGCAAAAGTAAGAAGGAGTCTACAAAAGGATGGAATATTTAAGTTGACAACTGTTGTGCTTGAGCATATTCATAACTTGGTTCCTACTGACTCACGACATTTTGCAATGAATAAGAGAATTCTTACTCTTGTGAAGAGAAGATTAGAAATAAACGATGAGGCAGGGATAGGGGTGGCTAGGAATTTTCATTCTATAGGTGTTGAAGGGGGGGGATATAAGGCATTAACATTTGACGGACGAGATGCAAGGAATCATATTGAGAAGGCTAGAAGATTGAGGCTTGGGGTAGGATATGCCGAATAGTTGGACTTTATTTTCATAGGATGCAATAACAAAATTCGAACTTCTATTCTGCAATGGACTTTGATGGAGAACACTTGCGAAACTTATTTTGGGTTGATGCAAGGAGTAGGGCAGCTTATAAAGCATTTGAAGATGTTGTCAAATTTGACACAACCTATCTCACAAACAAATATGGCGTGCCGTTTGCTCCGTCTGTAGGAGTTAATTGCCATGGACAACCAATTTTGTTTGGTTGTGCGTTGTTATGTAATGAGAACACTGGGACATTTATATGGTTATTCAGAGCTTGGTTAAGTTGCATGTCA